TCACCCACTTGTGGCATTTGTGTTACAGTAGCATAGGTAACTAAAACACCTGGGAACTTGTAAGAAATGCAAACCCTTAGGCCCTACCTTTGGCCTACTATATCAGTAACTTGTAAGAAACACGTCAGGTGATTCCAATGCATGCTAAAGCTTAAGAACCACTACCCTATATTATGCATCCTTTTAAAGATAAACCTTAGTTTAATGAGTAATTGGTGCATATCAAAAATAATCAATTCTCCCTCTAAATATCTGTGTGATATTGAATTACACCAACAGTGTCCTTTATGCCTAGGAAACTCAGAGTAAATAAAAATAATAAAATTCACAATGGAAATAGCCAAACCAAAAAAATAAATAAAACCGAACCCACTGCTGTCTAGTTGACTCCAACTCATAGTGACCCTATAGGACAGAGTAGAACTGCTTCATAGGGTTTCCAAGAATATAGATCTTTACAGAAGCAGACTGCTGCATCTTTCCCCCATGGAGTGGTTGGTGGCTTCAAACTGCTGACCTGTCAGTTAGCAAGCAGCAGAACTCTTGAACCACTGCAGCGCTAGGGCTCCTATGGAAACAGGAACTCAAAAAACTTCCTGTCGTCGAGTGGGAGCAGACTCATAACGAACCCTCCTTGGGTTTCTGAAGCAGTATCACTACAGAGGTAAATTGCCCAATCTTCCTTCCCCAGAGTGGCTGGTGAGTTTGAACCACGAGCCTTCTGGTTTGCAGTCAAATGCCTTAGGCACTACGCCACCAGAGCTCAGGAACCCTCCCAAATTTCCTCTTACAAAAGACAGTTTGCTTTGGCTACAAGAATTACCTCACCCTTCTAGTACTGGTGATACTTCCCTTTGTTGCCTTGGACAACCTTATTTGTCAGATTCACTGACCCATATGTGGTCCCCACTTTCTTTAGTCACCTCACGTATTAACAGGCAAGGTAGTAGTTATCAGGAAGACAGTGGTACTGGCAAATGAAAGGGAAGGACAGGTTGTCTGCTTCTTCAACAGCTGATACTCTGGTAGAGACAAAAAGCATGTTACCTTCTTTATTCCAGGGCTTCGAATGGGTTCATTTTTGTGCAACCTCTTACTGAGAATTTGCATGACCACCTCAGATATACTGAATCAGAATCTACATTTTTAACAAGATCTGCAGGTGATTCTTATAGGTCCTTAGGTGATTCTCAGGAGAATCTTGTTAAAATGTAGATTCTGGGGTAGAAATGCAAATCTCACAGGGGATCCAACTAGTATCTACCAACTCCAAACCCTGCTTTATTTATTCTCTCATTCCTCCACCCAACCATCCCTCCATTCATTCATTCATCCATTTACCTATCCATCCCTCTCCCTATCTGTCCCTTTATCCACTTAGCCATCCATCCAAGAAATATTTATTATGTAGACTATGTCATCTCCCATATTAAATGAAGTTGAGCCTCCTGGGAAACCACTAATCTGTGGCATTTTCTTTTGCTTCTCTAATGCTTCCTAGAACAGTCCAGTGGGGTACGAAAAGAAAATCTCAGAACTTCTATTTCTATTTATTTTTTGTTTTAAAATTCCTTGTTTTAGTGTGTGTTTTACAATGAACATAACATTAATACTGTAGTGGATATATAACTTCAAATTGCATGTTCAAAAAAGTATACAATCAGAGGTGCTAAAAATTAAAAAAAAAAAAATGGAGACCACTACTGTGAAGAATAGAATCAGAAGCTAACAGAGTAATTTGGGATAGAAAGTTACTAGCATTTGTAGGAAAAGGGTGTGAAGAGCCCTGGTAATGTGAAACTGAGCAGCTGGAAAACATGCCTACAGGCCAACTTTTGTTGGATTTTATTGCCCTTGGTCACACAGTTAATAACTGCAGAGCTAGAAGCAGAAGTCAGTTCTTGGCCCCAGTCTAGCTCTTGTTCCACTGCTCCACACTACCCTGAAGAGACATCTCGCCTGTGGCCCAGGCTTTAGGCCCAGATTGCAAATCTTTAAGTAATCCACTCCTTGACAGCATATCCTGAAACTTCATCATACCTCAGTGGAAGGAAAGACTTTTAACTGCTCTGTGTTTTTATTTAATAAGAGTATTAATATTTTGCATTAATGTAACTTTTTGTCTCATTTACAACCTGTTCTACCATCTTAAAAACAAAAAAAGATTAATTCAGACAAACTAGATGTTTTTCCTTAATTAAGCAGACAAAATTTTTTCTAGCGCTTTATCAATTCACTTAAAATGTTTCTGTAACTCCTTGTAAGCTTGAGTAAGTTTATGCTGTTCTTGGATATGATACTCTCAAGCTTCAAAATTGTATGCTATTCTGTTCTTCTCCAGACACTGAAAGAACTGGCTTGTTTTTGTCTGTGTTTTCTAAAGTGCAGCCACTTTCAAAATATTAGGAAATAAATGAAAATAAAATATTAATATTGTTTGTGAGTGAGAACAAAAATGAGCTGATGAAAGTGAAAATGGGTTGGCATTTTTAGATCTGTCATTTTCAGTCAATAGCAAACAACAAATGGAGATTTAATTACTTCCAGTTTCCTCCCAGAGTCTGGAGCTGCTTGATTGGAAAGTTTCTACCTTCAAAGCAGTTAAAAATCCAGGAAGAAAAAACAAAGCAATGAAACAGAACAAAAATATGCTCGAAGTTTAGTGCTTTGATGCTATGTGACACAGCCAACCAAGGAGGGAACTGTTGTTGTTGTTATGTACTGTCCAGTTGGACCCTACTCATAGCCACCCCTCCTTGGGTTTCAGAAGCATTATCACTACGAAGTAGATTGCCCAACCTTCCTTCCGAGGAGTGACTGCTGGGTATGAACCACCAGCCTTCCGGTAGCAGTCAAGTGCCTTAGGCACTAGAAATTGTAATTTCAACTAACTTATGACACCAATAGAAGTGTTTATCTTTTTTGTCTCCATAGAATGGGTTCATAGATGGGGACCAATGAGATGGCACGGGACTAGGCAAAATTTTGTTCTCTTATACCTGAGGTCTCTGAGTCGGAGCTGACTCAGTAGCAACTTACAACAACAACGTTTCAAAAGCTATAAAAAGTAGATCAAAAGTGTTATTTAAAAAAAAAAAAAAAAAAAAATTTCCAATCTGTAGGTTCTCTTTTGACTCTTTGGTACCCTACAGGACAGAGTAGAACTGCCACATA